ATTTCTTGTAAAGAAGGAAATTTGGGCTAGAATGCATCATGGAAAAGATCTTTTTTGGGCCAAAACTCATTCTGGAAGCAAAAATTCATTCCGGAGCCAAAAAAAGAATGAGGTTCTACCAAACGCGTTTTTATTCCAGAATGCAAAAATTACTCCAGAATGCATTCCGAAAATTTTTTAGCAGACGCATTTCTGTTCCAGAATGCATTATTCTGCTCCAAAAATCAAATTCTTGCCAGAAATTGATTTCTGGAGGAGAAATCTGTTTAATAAAACATGACTAATCCTGCTCCAGAAATTGATTTCTGGAAGAGAAATCTATTTGATAAAACATAAGGAAATTTCTACTTTTGGAGGTGCCCAAAAATTTAAATTTCACTCAAAGTGGGTAGTTACAGGTATTCTAAACCATTCTGTGAAGTTTTAAAATTTTTGATTTTTTGGGCACCATTAAAAATTTAAATTTCACTCAAAGTGAGTGGCCACGGGTATTCTAAGCCATTTTGTGAAGTTTTGAAATTTTTTATTTTTTGATTTTTTGGGGGCACCTAAAAAAATTTAAATTTCACTCAAAGTAGGTGGCCACAGATATTCTACGTCATTCTATGAAATTTTGAAATTTTTTATTTTGAAATTTTTTTTGGGCTCCTCAAAAAATTTAAATTTCACTCAAACTGGGTGGCCACAGGTATTCTAAGCCATTCTGTGAAGTTTTGAAATTTTTGATTTTTTAATTTTTTGGGCACCTTAAAAATTTAAATTTCACTCAACGTGGGTGGCCACGGATATTATAAGCCATTTTGTAAAATTTTTAAATTTTTTGATTTTTGATTTTTTTCTGGCACCTAAAAGAATTTAAATTTCACTCAAAGTGGGTAGCCACAGGTATTCTAAGCCATTATGTGAAATTTTGAAATTTTTTATTTTTTGATTTTTTTAAATTTTTGATTTCTTGTAAAGAAGGAAATTTAGGCTAGAATATATTCTGAAAGAGAGAAGCTACAAAAAGTAGCTTCTCTTTTTTGGGCCAAAACTCATTCTGGAAAAAAAAAATTCATTCCGGAGCCAAAAAAAGAATGAAGTTTTACCAATCACGTTTTTATTCCAAAATTCAAAAATTGCTTCAGAATGCAATCCGGAAATTTTTTAACAAACGCATTTCTGTTCCGAAATGCATTATGGAGCAGAATTTCTGCTCCAAAATAGATTCCATACGCGCTCTAATGTTCCATATGAGCTTTCACAAGCTCCAATCCCTCTCTCGTCACAATGCCTAAACCATTGCTTGGATTGACCCCATGAAGGTCATCAACGTCGTGCTCGTGCAATGGCATGGCAACCCCTCACTCATCTTGGCCTGTCCAACAAATCATTGCGCATTAATAGGTAAGATGCAATTCAAACATATAATTGTTTGCATTTAGTGACATTGAGAGTCCTACCTTATACAACCCATCTAATTCATCATAAATTTCCCATCATTGATCACTAAAATGCAATTTTTTTAGTTCAAAAGAAGCAACAGAACATTTTTCACAATTGCAATATATGTGAATCAAGGCCAACGTGCTTATTGACAAAGACTTCATCTTTATGAATCATGAAAATTTTCAAGTAACGACCTCTTTTTTTGATAAATAATTTCCTTGCGATGCTAAATAAATCTTGCCAGCCGCTCAAGCTACGTACTAGTTTATTTTAAATATGCAAAACCTTTCAAATATGTTTTGTGATTTTTCTTGATTGACATAACTTAAAACTAACGAATGCCTTAATTTTGCACTTAACATAATAACTAATTTTGGGTCTTATGCTCTTCTCGATAAAAAGGATGGAAGGAGGGTCTTCCAAGCCTCCATGGGCAGAGTACTGAGAGTATATAATGGGTGAGAGTGGGATTGAGTACACCTACTCCATTTTGTCTTTGTCTCCCTTTTTGTACTTTTTTTTTCTTTCTCAATTTTTCTTTTGCTTTTTTTCTTTTTAAAATTAAAAATCATGATTCTAAACATCTCATTAAATATTTACATATTTATAAACTATATAATTATGTGGTGAGAAAATTTTATGTATCAAGATTTCCTTTTCGCTAAATCACGTCGACAATATTGTTTCGTCGTTCTAAAACTTTTAGCAATGATTAAATGAACAAAAAAATTCCTATAACCGACACGAACTTGCTATTTATGTTATGAAGTGATATAAATTCTTAATTATCTAACTTATAAGTTCATAAAAAAAATCTAGAGATAATACAAGATATTTCTGTAAAATTTGGTATTATTTGGTCATAAAATTTAAATGGCTCCGAAACCATCCACTTTAGTTGGTTTAACTCTCACTCTGATATGGAGTGTGTTCCATATAAAGAAGAACTAACTAGAGTTACTTTTTATTTTTACTATAGTTAGACAATGCATATGAAATTCTGAGTGGGAAAATATTATAGTGTTAGCTGGTCCAAGCTAAGACCATGCTCATCATCTGACTTGTACGTTATGTCTTATAAAGATATAGAATCAGTCATACCCATAATCTCAGGCAAAAGTACACTATAAGTGCCATAACTTGTCTACGGTGATCACTTTGGTGCCATAACTTTTTTTCGGATCACTTTGGTGCCAAGTCGGAGGAAAATCGATCACTTTAGTGACTCCGACCAAAATTCCGGCCAAAAAGCTGACCTGGCATTTTTATTTAAAAAAAGAGTGTGACGTGGATATTGGGGTCAACATTTGATGTCCACGTGGACAAGCAAAACGACGTCGCTCAGTCCACGTGGACAAGAAGGACGACGTCGTTCCATTTAGGACAGCAAACGACGTCGCTCAGTTCAAAGGTCTTAGCATCGCGTCGCTCGTCACACCTACTCTGTCTCCCTCGTCCAGTCGCCGTCGCCTGTCGCTCGTCGCTGGTGGCGCCCTCATTTCGTCGCCGTCGCCGTCACCGTCGCCATCACCGTCACCGTCGCCAACGCCGTCTCTTGCCTTCCCCTCGCGGTCGGTCAGCGTCGCTCCCTCATCCCGTGGACTGAGCATCACTCGTCCCGTCGGCGTCGGTCCTGTCTACATGGCAAATTACGAAGGTCGGTCTTCAAATAAGGGCTGTTAATTTCTATTTTGCTGAATTGATCGACACATTGTGCTTCATTGTCCTATGTTTCACTCAATTAATTGGTAGATTAGGGCTGCCTTCGGGAAATTAGGCTTTGAAGTAGGAAATTAGGGCTCGAACTTGGGAAATTGGGGCTCGAACTTGAAATTAGGTATTGAACTTCTGAAATTAAAGCTTGAACTTCATAAATAGCTAGTTGTTCGGATATTAGGGCTTGAAGTGGATTCGATTGTGTTGGTGCGGGGCTGAGTATATGCGATAGACTGTGGTCCATGTGGGGACCTCTGTCATTGTCACCCATGTGGTCTGATGGTGGCTTTTTCAATCTTGTCGACCATGTGGGGGACCTTCATGTGAAGCTGTGCTCTTTTTCCTATGTGGTGTGGTCCCGAAAGCTAAAATATTGAATTTTTTTGGCTTTTTTCCTTCAATGCAGGGTCGATATATGGGGGATAAAGATATAATTATCGGCATCATTGTTCGCTATGGAGGAGAATTTGTCATCGGCACTGACGAGTGGGAATACTTTGGGGGACTTGAAGGTACTGTTTATTTCGATAGAAGCAAGCCAGCATATATTAATCTCATGAGGGATATAGTTCAACAATTAAGATGTAAAATAGGAAGTTTGCATTATTGTGTTCCTGGAAGCAGCTTGAAGGACGGTATTAGAAACTTTCATGATGATAATGGTGTTAAGGATATCATCTACCATTATCTTCATGGAAAAGAAGCTGTTGTGTACGTTGAGTCCTATAGTAATGGTGAATCTGATGAAGGGGCTGAGGGAGGAGACTTAGGTGATGGTGCTGCTTTACCTAGTACTCAGGTTGGTGCTAGTTCTATTATAGATGAAGCTGGACATGAGAGGGATGAGAGGGAGGCAAGCCATGCAGCGAGTGAAGAGTTCACTGGATTTGAGTTCACTGGATTGTCGTGGGAAGTTGCTGCATCTAGTGAATCAGATGATGAGGGTGTGACAAATGTAAATTTACCAAGTGAAGATGACGATGAGAAACTTGCACAGTCAAGGCAAAAGCAAAGGGAATTTGGAAAAAAATCAACAGCTGCACTTGGAGGATTGCATGAAGCTGAACCAGGACATAGCATTGATGGAGCTCCAGTTGAAGGTAATGACACTGATTATGAAGAAAGTGGCTCTGATGAACAGAATGATAATTCTGAAAATCAGCATGAAGATGATGATCCCGTTGTGCGCAGAAGGAAACGTAAGTATCCGTTATACGATCCTGGCTCTTCTTCTTCTGTGTTGACTGTAGGTCTGAAATTTTCTGATGCCAAACAATTCAAAGAAGGGATTATCAAGTATTCAATAGCTGAACAGAGGACTCTTCAGTTCACTCGAAATACGCAGGACTATGTTAGAGCAAAGTGTTCTCAACCTAGTTGTTCGTGGAAGATATATGGCGCACGTTCAAAGAGAGACAGGTCATTCCAAATTAGGTCATTACAGGAGGAACATACTTGTTCCATCATGTTTGACAACAAAAGGGTAACGAGTGCTTGGTTGTCGAAGCACTTCTTCGATACCATCAAAGCGATGCCTGATGTGAAGAGTGCTCAGCTGAAGCAGTTGGTAAGGGAGCAAGTAGGGATTAACGTGTCACTCAATCAGTGTAAAAGAGCCAAGTATAAGGTGATGAGAAAAATTCTAGAGAGGTACAAGGAAGAATATGGTCAAATTTGGGAATATGTTGGAGAATGTAGACTGCAAAACCCGGGTAGTCGAGTTTATGTTGAGGTTGTGGAGCGGCCACTGCCTAACCATGGGACTAACTTTGACCGAATTTATATTTGCTTTGATGCATGCAAGCGGGGATTTGTTGCTGGTCGTAGACGAGTCATAGGGTTAGATGGATGTTTCTTGAAGGGTGTGTGCAAGGGAGAATTGTTGGCTGCCATTGGGAGGGATGTCAATAATCAGATGTTTCCAATTGCTTGGGCTGTTGTGAAGGTAGAGAGCAAGGACACTTGGTCGTGGTTCCTGAAAAATTTGATGGCGGACCTTGAGATCACTAATGGAGGAGGTTGGGCATTCATGAGCGACCAACAAAAGGTAATGCTGGTGCAACTGCACAAACAATATTTATGACATTTTATCTTGCACATGCCTTTATTAATGCCTTGATGTATGAATTCTTGTAGGGACTTCTTCATGCTCTAGCTGAGTTGATGTCATTTGCTGAACATAGGATGTGTGCGAGGCACATATATGCAAACTGGGCAAAGATCTACAAAGGGGAGAAACTACAGAAGCAATTTTGGATGATAGCTAAGAACACCAACATGGCTGATTTTAGAATTCACAAACAGCAGCTGCTTGACTTGACGAAGGACGGTTATGAAGCACTTTTTCAAACTGAACCCAAGCATTGGTGCAAGGCCTTCTTCAGTGAAGAATTCAAGAGTGATATCATTGATAACAATCTTAGTGAAGCCTTCAATGGCAGAATTTTAGAGGCGAGGTGCAAACCAATCATCAGCATGCTTGAGGATATTCGAGTGATAGTCATGACAAGGCTGCAAAAACAGAGAGATGAGGCTGCGAAGTGGACTGGACAGTGTGGTCCTAGGATTGCCAAAAGATTGGATGACAACTTGGCGAGTAGTAGGTTCTGTCATCCTATCTGGAATGGAGATGATGGCTATGAGGTCATGGAAAAAACAGACAAGTATGTTGTCCAATTGGACAAACTAAAGTGCTCATGTCGAGCTTGGCAACTTTCTGGAATTCCCTGCACACATGCCATTTGTGCCATCCAAGCGAAGTACCAAAATCCCAAGGATTGCCTGCATGGTTACTACCACAAAAGCACATATCTTGCTGCGTACCAGCACATGATGTAGCCTATTAGAAGTACAAAATTCTGGAAGCCGACAAATCATGAAGCCCCTCATCCTTTACCACTTAAGAAACAAATGGGAAGGCCTAAAAGGAGACGAAGAAAGCAGGAGGGAGAGCCCAGAAGTAAGAAGATGAGCAGGTCAGGTGTAGAGATAAAATGCTCATATTGTCGTGAGGTAGGTCACAACAAAAGTGGTTGTCATTTGAAGAAGCAACATCGGTTGCTTCAACAGCCAAGTGGAGGGACTCAAATTGGATCAAGTGCACAAAGACAAGAACCACCAAGGGGCGCGAAAGGCCCGCTCGGGAGGGCTAGCCGATAGGCATGCCGATTGTCTAGTCAAGGACCCGCCGAAGGCCAAGTTCAAAAACCAGCTGAAGAGCCAACCGGAGGCCCAGGTTTAAGGGCAACCTCCTCCTCGACTGTTGCACAGGTTAGGAGAAAATATCCAGTAAGCTATATGTATTTGTATTAATCTTTAGTGAGCAGACTTTGACTTTAGTTGACATTGTTTTGTTCTTATCAGTTGAGAAGAAAACCAACTGAACAAGCAGCTCAGGTTCCTCAAAGTGAGGCACCATATCAAACAAGAGGGGTCCTCGGCAGAAGATTAAGGCAATATGGTTATGGAATTTATACGGACTTCAATACTGGAATGACTATTTTGCATGTAAGTTTTATACATCTCATGCATTTCATTCGTGAGTTTTTCACTTTTATGACAATATTGCTTCTTCTCATCCATGATTATGTTGTAGCCTGGGAGGAGTTCAGAGGTTCTCATATCTCAAGTTGGCCCAAGCCAAGAGTCAAGAGTGCACCAAAAAGAATCCAACCAACGCCGCAAGCGTGGTCCGAAGAGAAGAAGGGTGGTCGGAGAGAAGAGTGTTCTGAACCGCCACCAACAAAAAACTCAACACTAGTTCCCGATCAACCAAGACATGTCGAACCTCCCAAAACAGCCACCAACACCAGTAAGAAGAAGATAGTTGCTGCGCCTGAGAAGAAATCTCGAGCAAGAAGGCCAGTAGAACAACCTGCTGGTCCAGCAGTTGAAAAAGATGCAGCTGGAGCAGTTCAAGAAGAAGCAGCTCTAGCTGTTGAAGAAGATGCAGCTCAAGCAGTTCAAGAAGAAGCAGCTCCAGTTGTTGAAGAAGATGCAGCTCCAGCAGTTCAAGAAGAAGCAGCTCCAGCTGTTGAAGAACCTGCATCTTCAGAAGAACAACCTGCAGTTCATCCAGTTCGAAAGAGTCAAAGAATTATGAATCAATTCAAGAAGCCGTCGAAAGGAAAAGGAAATGGTGAACTTATCACTATTGACTAATGGGAGGGTGTTGAGGTGATTGTTAGTTTTTGTGAAATTAGGGAGGTTTACCGTATTGGCTAATAGGAGCTTGATTTTTTGTAGTCCTGGAATGTTATTGCCTAATGGGATGTTGTGTGTAATGACTAAATTCGATGTTTACCGTGGTTAAGGTGGTTGTGATTTTCATATTTTTGCACACGTGTTTGCTCTGTTTTAGTATAGTACTGGTGTAGTGGGGTGCTTGTAAGTTGCATCAGTAAGTTAATATTCAAAGAAACTTACTGATGCAGTTGGTGGGGAGGGTGGGAATTAGTGCTACTAGTGCTGGTTTTTTGTGCTATTTTCAGGTGCAATATGGTGCTTGCACCAGCTGCTGATTTTGTGTTGTTTGAGAGTGCAGTATGGTGTTTGTACTAGCTGCTGATTTTGTACTATTTGGGAGTATAGTATGGTTACTATTTGGGAGTATAGTATAGTAGCTGCTGATTTTGTCATATTTGTGAGTGCAGTATAGTGCTTGCACCAGCACGCCAGCACGTGCTGGTGCAAGCATTTTGAACCGGTTTTGAATATGGTTTAGGGGTTGTTTGGAGCTGGTGATTAAATATGGTTTGGGGGCTGTTTGAACCAGCTTATGAGTATGGTTTGGGGCGGTTTGGTGCTGGTGAGCAGTGCTGGTACAGTTACTGCTTTGATTCTGGAATGATTTGGTTTAAAGATTGGTTTGTTGGAACCAAAGTCTCCATTTTTCAAAGAAAAACACGTCATGACACTTAAGTGATCAACTTTCGGCCACAATTGGCACTTAAGTTATCACTTTTGAACCACGACTGGAACTTAAGTAATCACTTTTGAACCACGACTGGCACTTAAGTGCTCACTTTTGAACCACGACTGGAACTTAAGTGATCACTTTTGAACCACGACCGGCACTTAAGTGATCACGATTAAAAACATTTGGCACTAAAATGTCAACTGCTGAACTTGTGACGACTTCATAATTTGCTGCTACGAAGAGTTGCAGCACTTGCAGCACCTCATTTTTCAGTAGTGAGCCTTACTCCATAATATGCAACCATCTAACCAGATGAAAAAAATACAACAAATGAGCAAGTGATTATACAGCAAATGAGCAAGTGCAGCAAATGAGCAAAAATATGAAGCAAATGAGGAAGTGCAGCAAATGACAGCAAATGAACAAAAATATGCTGCCAATGAGGAAGTGCAGCAATGATAGCAAATGAGCAAAAATATGCAGTAAAATATGCTGCAAATGAGAAAGTGTAGCAAATGACAGCAAATGAGCAAAAATATGCTGCAAATGAGGTAGTGCAGCAAATGACAGCAAATGAGCAAAAATATGCAGCAAAATATGCTGCAAATGAGGAAGTGCAGCAAAAGACAGCAAATGAGCAAAAATATGCAATAAATATGCTGCCAATGAGGCAAAACTGCATCAAAATATGCAGCAACAAAATACTAAGCAACTCAACATTGAGAACCAATAAATTCCAACCTTCCATTTGTCATAGATTGCAGCAAACCTCTTGTTACATACAAAAATTGCAGCAAACTAATAACACAACCGTAGCTACAAATTGCCAAATACACGTACATAGTACTAGCCTATCTTAAATTATGGTAGACTAAGAAACTTTTGCTCATAACTGACATTACATTTGACCATAAAATAGGCTATGAAAAATATCAATAACACAATCAACAATCGATAACACTTTCTTTCGATTTTCATCCTTCGAACTTCCTTCTTCAAATGGTTGGCCAGAGATGCTAAAGCCTTCATTTCAGCTTGCAATGAGTCGACATCGTCCAACTCGTCCATTAATGCAGGTGGAGGTTGATGTCGAGCTTCAAGTAGCTTCACTATCACCTCTGTTGCTCGATCTGAAAATTTCGCATCAACCCACTTGAAGAATTTGCACTTCGAGCCTTCTCTCTACCTGGCGCATCCATGGAATCTTCTCCCGGGGTTCAATCGAGTCCAAGATGTTCTTCTTGGACTCGGTAATCCACAATAGCAGAAGAACCGACCTTCTTCTTCACTTCGTTCAAACAAATTTGAGCCGCTGATGAAGCTCCTGCCATCCATTTGTAACCTTTGGCTGTCAATTTCGGGAAAACAAGGAAATAATATGGCCGGTTAGGGTTTGCAATTGAGGAATATGTCCAATTAGCCGATTTAGGGTTCCTATATTTGGGGGAGAAAGGTTGAACGACGTCGTTTTCGCTATAAGGGCTTACTGGACTTTCCGACCTGCTCCGGCCAGCCATCTCAGCATCGAATATTAATAAAAAAGAGTCACATCAGATTTCCGACGTGCCATGTCAGCTTTGGCACTAAAGTGATCGATTTTCAAAAAAGTTGGCACCAAAGTGATCCGAAAAAAAGTTATGGCACCAAAGTGATCGCCGTACACAAGTTATGGCACTTATAGTATACTTTTGCCCATAATATCATAACATGTGTTATTATGAGGTATATCCATAAAATTAGCTAATGAGTTTATGCTTTATGCAAAGAATTATTACGTAAGTTCATATCCATTTGATACCTTACTAAATTAAGACTTAGTAAGATGTGAACCAGAGCTTGGATTCGGTCGGTAGCCAAAGACGGACTTGTAATATTTGTCCTAGTGGGGTCGATATGATCCATGGTTGCAAAGAAATCAAGTATATCTAGTTGAGATATAAAAGCAGTTACACATAGAACTCAACTATACACTTCTCTTCAATTGAGAATCATAATAGCATTATATCATTGGTTGATATATATTTTAGTTAACCGTAGTAATGCCCGGACAACATTCTAATTACGTCGAAAGACGAGATTTAAAGAGCAGAAAAAGGATATCATTGGGAGAGGCTAAATCTCTGAGTTGGGCATATATCATTCCAAGAATAAACTGATTGCTTATACAAAAGGGAATAGCTAAAGACTTGGGTATATCTTAAAGTTCTTGACTATTGTATAGACATTGCTGTGCAATATCGGCTACTTACCAAAATGCCCGATCTTGGACAAGTCGAAGTTGCCACTTTTGCATTTCTATGCCCGCCCATATTAGGGACAATGTACATCATACAGTAATCCAAGGTCAGTTACTCCTTAAGCTCGTTCTCCTCCTCCTCCTCTTTTCCCTTCAAAACTTTCTTGGATCACTTCGCTCTCCTTTTGCGCCAACTCTTCAACATCGTCGCCCTCCTTAATGTCGTTCTTGTTAGGAGAGGCGACAAATATCTCAATGGATTCAGATTCATTGGGGCTGCTCGATGTCACTAACTGATTCATCTTCTTATTCTCCTTTCTTTTGCCCCATAGCACCGCATAGAGACCAAGTACTATGAGCCCTGACCCTAGAATGCTGTCATCAAAATAAAGCGAGTATTTTAGATATCCCGTGTTAAGTGATTCGAAAGGTTCGAATGCTTTGAAAATATATGTATGTATACTTACCTTCCCAGGTTCAATTTTTCATCCAACACCAAAGACCCCGCCAAGGCCACAATCACTAGCATCAAAGGACTAAAAGCCGACACGAAGACCGGTCCTCTCACCCTTACGCACCAAGCCATTAGAGTATAGCACAACCCGGAACCTACTACCCCCTACAACACCACAAGCAAAACCGCGCCACGCAATAGGTGGCGGATTAGCTAACGACACGTACCAAGGCAATTCGACAATCGCTATTAAGCCGCCCCCAATAAATGCACGCAACATTAGAAAGTAAAGTGTTTGTCATGGTGTACCAAGTATGATACAGTGAGAAGCCTGATGTTCCATCCAAGCTTCCACTGGCTCCAATCCCTCTCTCGACACAATGCGTAAACCACTGCTTGGATTGATGCCATGAAGGTCATTAACGCCGTGCTCGTGTACTGGCATGGGAATCCCTCACTCATCTTGGCCTGTCAAACAAATCATTGTACGTTGTAATTTCTAGTTACCGAGAAAAAACACTTAGCGACATGCACGTTACGATATTTTCTTCGTTTTAAATATGTCATTTATTTATTTCAAGCAAAAAAACTGAATGTTTTGATACGCTACACTGTTTAGTTACTATGCATGAGGTCACTTCGGCCTCTTGCATCTACCTCTACAACTGTGGCGTACTTGAGATTCTCGATTTGACCGATATATAGACATCGAGGTACTTTCCACTTGTAAGGTGGTAGGTGTGACCTTTATAGTTATTTTGGAAGTGCACTTAAATCACTCTATCAACTTCAATCCCTCGAAGGCTCATTAGTCCTTGCAGACCGAATACAAATTCGGGGGAGTATAACTTCTCCATATATATATATAAAAAAGGGTGAAAATCCTATACGTTTGCTTTGGTACCTCAATAAATCTCAACCATCAATCTCAGTTTTATAAATCTGATTTTCATATAACAATCGTTTGGATCTATTGAGACATTAAATGAAGCATTGAACGGGATAGAAAAATTCATCTTTTATAAAACGAATCTTCGGGATGTTTGGATGCGCATGCAATCTTTCCCAAACTAACCAGAAGAACCTTGAAAAGGAAAAGGTGATCGACACTAGAAAGATTGAAAAGAAAAGGCAAATCAAAGGCGACAACATGAAGACGTATTGAAAAGATACAGCAAAGACCCACCTGAATGATCAACCACAAAGCGTAACAGAAGCAGCTGGCCACGGCCAAAAGCGACCCCAGGGGGAGATTGCTCGAACCCTCCTGGCCCTGCTGGGTCGCCGCCACGTGACGCAGCAAGTTCACGTGTGTTGACCACAAGTTGACTTCCACGCCCTTGTAGAACGTGAGCAGCATTGCCCCACCAATCCCCATTAATGTTCCCCCCACTTTTGCCTTCCCTGCAACTGTCCTCAGCCTCGCCTTCTCCAACCTAATTGCCATCGACCAACGTGAACATGAAAGAAAGACACGCGCCACGTCAGAAGAACATCCCAGCTGACGATCCCCGAGCATATGCGCCAAGACCGATCCTAGTGAATTATAAGCCAATTACATGTCAAGGAACTTGCACGAGACATTCCTGTACATACCCGAAAGAAATAGCCAAGACGAAGGTTACGGCAGGGGTGAGGTTGGCCATGGCCGAGACGTATGTCGCCGATGTCATCGATATGCTTGCAAGGTACAAATTTTGCCCCATTGATCCCCTGCAAATTCATTCAATCATAGTCAACGATAAAAGACCAGAACCTTCCCCATGCATAAACACCTGAGTCTTCCATATTTATGTACTAGAAGTCTCTTTTAGAAGGAATATCTGGTGAAGGCTGCGTCTAGTCTGCTGCAGTACATGGAAACATGGGTTTTAGGCTGTTATCACATAAGTGCTGTCTTATAGCACCACAAGTCACTAAGCATTTCGCAAATGTTATAGATTAAACAAAAAAAAAAGGCATGGTAATCAAGAACCCCAACATCAGTGCACTAAGAAACACACACTTACCCAAATAGCCCACAAAAGAAGGCTTGGACAAGCACTGTCCACGTTATCTTTGGCCTGCTCTTCCTGTTATAAACCGAAACACAAAACCAGTATAC